AGAGAGAGAGAGAGAGAGAGAGAGAGAGAGAGAGAGAGAGAGAGAGAGAGAGAGAGAGAGAGACAGAGAGAGAGAGAGAGAGAGACAGAGAGAGAGAGAGAGAGATTTTTGAAAATTAATATGTGCTTAAATTATCCGTACGCAAACATAGGAAGGAGGAACTACAAATTGTACTCGACATCGCAGGAACCAACCTAGCATCTGATCCCTCTAACTCCTTCTAACATGACCTACTCCAATCTACCAAGGACTAAATGAATGGAGAAGATGGGAACTTAGAGGCCTACAGATACGCGCCCGAATGAATGACTACACCCTGAATGAATCCATGTCCAAATTATTTTTCTCCAAGATCAAGGCCAACGCAAGGAACAACACAATCGAGGAGCTGAAGGACCCAGCAGACCAGGGGACGACAAAGTCAGCCGGCGCAGACATGGTAAGAATAGCCAGGTCCTTTTACGCCGACCTCTACGAGTCCAAAATCCCCTCCCCCCCTCCAACAGCAAATATCAACGCCCGTCAGCACATGATGACCTACCTAGAGAGAACGATTACCCAAGAACAAACGGAGGACTTAGACAAACCCATCATCATAAGGGAACTTCAGGCAGCCCTATCCGAGATGGGAAAGGACAAAGCACCAGGAATTGATGACTTGTCCAAAAAATTCTGGATCCAGTTCTGGCCAACACTGGGCAACGACCTCTTGAACTTGATTAATGACAGCAGGGAAAAGAGAGGCCTGGGTCAATTTCTAAGCACCAGCGTAGTGTCACTAATATATAAAAAGCATGGTTACCAACCAGACGTCCAGATCCCGATCCAGACAGCCCGGTGTCCGGTGTCCGGATTGGAGGGTCCGGTTGGACCCCAAATTCAAAAAATTCAAAAAGAAAAATTCGGGGTCCGAGGCCGTTCACCTGGGCCTGGGGTACCCCGGAAAATTGAAACTAATGTTTTTTTAAATGCGGTACCCCAACCGGACAGGCCCTGAAAGGGCCTCTGAGTGGATTTTTCAAACTCGCTGGAGCATACTCTCAGCACCGCTGGCGGGAGCCGTCGCCGTCTTGCTGTGGAGGTCTGCCCTGCCGCTGTCTGCCTGTCAAAGCTCCACCATCGCCGTCTTGCCGTCGAAGGTCCACCATCGAGGTCAGTCAGTCTCTCTCTCTCTCTCTCTCTCTCTCTCTCTCTCTCTCTCTCTCTCTCTCACACACACACACACACACACACACACACATACACACACACACCAGCTCTCTCACACACACACACACACACACCAGCTCTCTCTCTCACACACACACACAGACACCAGCTCTCTCTCTCTCTCTCTCTCTCTCTCTATCTATCTATCTATCTATCTATCTATCTATCTATCTATCTCTATCTCTCTCACATTTGGATGGAATCTTGGTGCGTTTGAGCTCTCTTCTTGGTACATGACTATCTGGACCTCTGAGCGATTCGTTTGCAATAACATTTTTGGCAAACAAGTTCGCTGCTTTGCTCTTATTTTGATGGAATCTTGGTACGTTCGAGCTGTCTACTTGGTAGATGACTATCTGGACCTGTGCACGAACCTGTGTGTCCGTCCTTTTTTTTTTTTTTTTTTTAATCCCGACAACCGGACACTGGCACATCAAACCGGACTGTCCGGGTCCGGATGCCTGGATGTCCGGTTTGATCCAGACACAGGTCCGGTGTCCGTGTCTGGATGTCCGGTTGTCCGGGTCCGGAACAACCATGATAAAAAGGGAGACAAGGAGGACCTCAAGAACTACAGACCGATCTCACTTCTCACAACGCCATACAAAATCCTAGCAAAAGCATTAGCCAACATAATCATAAAACTAACACACAGTTGCATTCACATCGACCACGCAGGATTCATTCCGGGTCGATACATTCTGGATAATGTGATGGTTCTAAACGAGGCGGCAAAGAAGATCACAGAAAAACAAATGCAAGCAGCGATCTTATTCTTCGACTTTGAAAAGGCATACGATCAAGTCAATTGGGACTTCCTCCACAGCTGCATGGAGAAGATGGGAGTCGGCCCAAACTTCAGAGAGTGGGTTAGAGTACTCTATGGGGATGCCACGGGCAGAGTGCAGATAAGCAGAATACTGTCAGAAACCTTCCCGATATCGAGATCCGTCCGGCAAGGCGACCCCCTTGCACCCCCAATATTCTTGTTCATAATGGAAGCCATCGCATCCTTTCTGCACAAGGACCCATCCATAGACCGCCTCACCGAACAAAACTACAACCCCCTCCACGACTTTGCTCTCCCCACTGCACAGATGTTTGCAGACGATCTCACGGTCCTCATCCGCGCTAACAACTCTCCTTCCAGGCCCTGGCCCGCGCCATGGAAGCCTTCAAACTCGCCTCAGAAATGAAGGTGAACTGGCTGAAAACCGAAGGGTGGTGGCTTGCAGAAGGCACCCAACCCCCAGACCCATCCACCCCAATGTCTTGGACTACAGGCGATCAAGCACTTCGATATCTAGGCATTATGGTAAACAGGGATGGCATCTGGCAAGGGATGGGGGAGTCACTACTCGCCAGAGCAATAACCCGTTTAGCCACCTGCAACAAAGCCCAGGCCTCCCTACTAGGGAGAGCCCTAATCATCAATACAACAGTATTCTCCACCTCATGGTACATGGCCTCCATATGGTGGTCCCCCGACGACGACCTGAAGAAGCTGAAGGCTAGAGCCAGGTGCTATTTGTGGACTATCGATCCCAACGGAACCACCTGCGTAAACAAGGTGGTCTGGCAAACTGTCATCAGGAAACCACAAGGAGGGCTAGGTATAATCGACCCTAAACAGGAAGCCATCACCCTCCAAATTAGATGGATAATCAAAATCCTAACCAAACAAGCCCTCCCGTGGACCGCGACGGCGATAGACAGCATAAGGAATTTGGCACCAGCAGCGAACCCACCGAACATGAGTGGCCTATTCTGGATCATGGCAAAGGAGTTGACAATCAAATCGGGGAGACCAGCAAGAAAAACTAACCCAGTGACCCCCATTCAACCCCCAACTACACCCACCCCCTACTGGTCTCCGATCCTGAAGACTTGGCGCCGGCTGATGCCAAAAAAGAAACGGCCCCCGAGCAACAAAGAGGAAGTCCTACGACAACCCCTGCGTAGCACGGCGAACGTGTTCGCGCCCCTTCATGTTCGCACGAACGTGTTCGCGCATTCGCGCGAACAGCTCGCGAACATGTTCGGGCGAACATAATTTCTTTTCGTAAAAAATACAAATAAAAAAAATAAATAAATCGGTTTTTGATTCTTAACTCATGATTGGCTACGAATTTGAACATGACTCCAAGGCAAAAGTTGCTTGTATTGTTATTTACATAACATATATTTGTTTCAGATTTTTCTGAGAACTTTTTTTTTTTTTTTTTTTTTTTTTTTATGTTCGCGTTCGGAAGGTTTTGGGCGCTTGTTCGCGTTCAGGCGAACGTGTTTGCGTTCGCCTCTGAACGCGAACACGGTGCTACGTAGGACAACCCCTGTTCTGCAATCCCTGGATCAAAGACACAGAGGGCAGACTGTGGACTCTCCGGGCCAAAGACCGCAGATGGCTGTCATGGGTGGAGAGAGGAGTATGGCAGGTAAAACATCTGTGGTCCGAAGACCGACAAGAATGGCTCACCACACAGGACCTTCGCACTCACTTAAAAGGTTGCCATCTAATGACCACCAACCTGTCAGAAATCCTCCAAAGCATTCCCCCCCCATGGACGACCCTCCTAAAAGAGGCATACGTGGAAACCAGGAGACTGGGGACTGCCCACCACACAGACCCCACCGACAAAAGCCTACCTTTTTGTGTCAAAACCGGACTCAACGAACTACCAGGCCAAGTTCGTATCCTACCTCATCATCAAACACGGCCTATATGAAGTAGAGATCCTAAACAAACACCACAGCACGAACAAATGGAAACTTACCTTCTTAGGAAGGTTAGAGTCTCTCACAAGACACCCTGGTTTATATTCCAGCCGGAACTCAGCATCAACGAGTTGGAATTCGACCCAAAGGAATGGATCTGGGATCTGGGCACCGCCAGTAAATCGAGAAGGATAACAGAATACGGTGTAAAGTTCGGGTATAACCTCGGACTGCAAACCAGGGACCCGAACCCAAGGCTGGCAGAGACATGGAGAACCATACTGAACCTAGATACCACGACCCCCATCACCATCACATGGACCAAATACATTCTCATCAGACCAAGTAGAATCCGAAGTATGCAATGGCTAATAGCACATGCGGCCCTGCCAGTCAACCATTGGTTACACGGGAGAAGGAAACATTCTGATCCTGATAGCTCGGCATGCTGCTCAATGTGCAGCAACGACTCACCCGAAGACATCCCCCACTGCCTCCTCTTCTGCCCTGAAGCAATCTGGGTATGGAAGAAGATCCGCGAGCTATAGTCGATCCTGTTCGCTGGCCCCCCACCAAACATCCCCCCTATCTCTATCCTACTTCTAACTAACATCCCCAGCAACATCACAGGCAGCAGGGAAGCATGATTCACCCTACTCAGGAAGCTGGCACTGTGGGTGATATGGAAACGCAGATGCACTCAAACAATCGAGGGAACAGAGGTTGAAAGAGAAGAAATGTCGTCACTCCTGCTGAGCATGGCAGGGACGGAAATCAGGAGCAGATAGCAAACTCTACGAGACACAGACCAGAAAGACAAACAATCAAGAAACGGACTTCATAAGGAACTGGTTGCTAAAAGGCAAGGTGGCAACGATAGTAGACAATAGACTGAGGTGGAAGAAATGGCACTAGGCAGAAGCACGAAGACCACGAGGGTACATGCCGGGAGACCTGGCAGAAGGTTCTGAATGGTGATCAACAAAAAGAGGACCGGACACACAGGGAAAGACAAGGACAAGCAACAGAACACAGAGCGGACCCCCCCGCTGTTCTCGTATTACAGGGACTCATTCGACAGGCTCTAACTAGAAGCCTGAGA